CGGCAACAATAGTAGCAATAGCAACAGCAACAACAGCAGCAAAAACAGCAGCAACACCAGCAGCAGCAGCTTTCCTTCTTTGTCTCTGGATGGTAGCTGCTTAAGAGGAGGTACAGAAGCAGGCCGTGTTCTGCTGCTGCTTCCTCTTCCTTCTTCTGCTGCTGCTGCTGCAGCAGGAGAATCTTTTGCTGCTGCTGTTGCTGCTGCAGCATCTGCTGCTGCTGCAGCATCTGCTGCAGCAGCAGCAGGGGCCTCCTCAGAGGAGACAGAAGACGTTTCGTCTGTTTCTTCTCCCTTTGCATCTCTGTCTCCATCTGCTGCATCTGCTGCTGCTGCTGCTGCTGCTGCTGGTGCTGCTGCTGGTGCTGCAGCAGCAGCAGCAGCAGGACTCTTTGACGCAGCAGCAGAAGGAACAGCCTTCGCCTTCAGTGTTTTTGCTGCAGGAGGGCTTGTGGGGATTTCCTCTGCTGCTGCTGCTGCTGCTGCTTTTGTTGCTGCTGCTGCTTTTGTTGCTGCTGCTGCTGCTTTTGTTGCTGCTGCTGCTGCTGCTTTTGCTGCTGCTGCTGGGCTCTTAGGTGCTGCCTTCACTGCTACTTTCGCTTTGCTTGCTGCTTCTTTTTCTTCTTTTGCTGCCTGCTGCTGCTGCTGCTGCTGCTGCTGCTGCAGCGGCTTAGCTGCTGCTGCTGCTGTCTTGGGGGCCTCCTTTTTCTCTCCTTCTGTCTTCCCTTTAGTGAGATCATCAGCTTCCTCCTTGCCTGCTGCTGCTGCTGCTGCTGCTGCTTTTGCTGCTGCTGCTGCTGCTGTTTTTGCTGCTGCTGCTTTTGGTGCTGCCTTTATCATCAGCATCTTCTTGGGGGCTGCTGTCTCCTTTGCTTCCCCTTTTGCTGCTGTGTCATCTTCTGCTGCTGTCTTTGCTGCTGCTGCTGGCTTTGCTGCTGCTGCTGCTGCTGCTGGTGCTGCTGCTGCTGCTGCTGCTTTTGCTGCAGGTGGTGGGGTTGGGGCTGCCTTCTTCAGGGGGACCTTCGCCAGCCCTGCTGCCTTTTTAGGAGAATCTGCTGCTGCTGCTGCTGCTGTTTTTGCTGCTGCTGCGGCTGCTGCTGGCTTTTCTTCTTCTTGCTCTGTTTTCGTTGCTGCTGCTGCTGTCTTTGCTGCTGCTGCAGCTGTCTTTGCTGCTGCTGCTGCTGTCTTTGCTGCTGCTGCTGCTGCCTTTGCTGCTGCTGCTGTCTTCGGTGCAGGCCCCACAGCTTTCTTTGCTAGTACTCCTTTTGCTGCAGCAGGAGCTGCTGCTGCTGCTGCTGCTGCTGCATCTTGTTTTATCTGCTGCTCTGCTGCTTTCATAGCTAATTCTAAGGATGTCAGCTGCTGCGGTGCTGCTGCTGCTGCTGCTGCTGCTGCTGCTGCTGCTGCTTCCTTTGTGTCTGCTTCTGCTTCTGTTAGCTTCGATTGCATAAGGGTTTTCTCTTTTGTTATTTTTGTTTTCTCTTTATCCTCTTCTGCTGCTGCTGCTGCTGCTGCTGCTGCTGCTTCCTCTGCTCCTGCTGCTGCTCCTGCTGCTGCTTTCTTCTCTTCTGCTGCTTCTGCTTCTTCTGCAGGTTTCTTCTCTGCTGCTGCTGCTGCTGCTGCTGCGTCGTCTGCTGCTGCATCTGCTGCAGGTTTCTTCTCTGCTGCTGCTTCTGCTGCTGCTGCTTCTGCTGCAGGCTTCTTCTCTGCTGCTTCTGCTGCTGCTGCTTCTGCTGCATCTTTCTTCTCTGCTGCTGCTGCTGCTTCTGCTGCATCTTTCTTCTCTGCTGCTGCTGCTGTTTCTGCTGCATCTTTCTTCTCTGCTGCTGCTGCTGCTTCTGCTGCTGCTTCATCTGCTGCAGGTTTCTTCTCTGCTGCTTCTGCTGCTGCTGCATCTGCTGCTGCTGCTTCTGGTGCTGTCTTCTTTTCTGTATCTTCTGCTGCTTCTACTGCTGGTGCTTTTGCTGCTGCTGCTTTTGCTGCTGCTGCTTTTGCTGCTGTTGCTTTTGCTGCTATTGTCTTTGCTGCTGGTACTTTTGCTGCTGCTGCTTTTGCTGCTGCTGCTTTTGCTTTTGCTGCTGCTTCAGGTTTCTTATCTGTTGCTGCTGCATCTGCTGCTTCTTTACCTTCTCCTTCAGCTGCTGCTCCTGCTGCTGCTCCTGCTGCTTTTGCTGCTGGTGTTTCTTCTGCTGCAGGTGTTTTTGCTGCTGTTTCCGCTGCTGCTGCTGCTGCTGCTGCTGGTGTTGCTGCTGCTGCATTGCCTGAGCTCCCCCTTCGTATCATCGTGGCGGGTGCTGCCTTCTTAACTATTGTTTTTTTAGAGGGAACAGATGGTGTTGCTGCTGCTGCTGCTGCTGGTGTTGCTGCTGCTGCTGCTGCTTCTGTTGCTGCTGCTGCAGTTTGCTGCTGCTTCTCTTTTTCTTCTGCTGCTGTCTTTGCTTGGGGTGCTGCTTTCTTTGTCAGTACCTTCTTAGCAGGTGGGGGCCCCGCTGTTGCTTTTGCTGCAGGGGCCCCTGCTGCTGCTTCTGTTGCTGCTGCTGTTTCTCCTGCTTTTGCTGCAGCAGGATGAGCTTTAGCTGCTGCTGCTGCTGCTGCTGTGTCTGCTGCAGCTTCTTTACCTGTAGGAGTTGCTGCTGCCTTGGGTATGAGGCGACGAACTGGGGCCCCCTTGGATTTATCTTCTGCTGCTGCTGCTGCTGCTGCTGCTGCATCTTCTTCTGTTTCTTTTTTCTTTGTATCAGCACTACTGATGCGTACGGCTGCAGGGGGCCCCCCAACCTTTGCTGCTTTCGTTGCTGCTGGTGCTGCTTTCTTAACCATACGAACCTTTGCAGCAGCAGCGGGGGCCCCCTGCTCCTCAGGGGGGCCCCCCGCCTCCCCGGGGGCCCCCACAACTCTACGTACCACTACCTTGCTAGCTGGGGGTCCCTCAGCAGCAGCTTTGGGGGCCCCCGGAGCCTTCGCCTGTAGGGTGCCTCGAGATAAGCTACGACGAGGAGCTGAAGCAACACCTACAGCAGCAGCAGCAGCAGCAGCAGCAACAGCAGCAGAAACAGCAGCAGCAGCAGCAGCAAGGACACCACAAAAACGTTTGCTTAGAGAAACGCAACGAAAGCCGTCAGCAGAAAAACGAAGAGAAGCAAAATAAACCGAAATAAAATAAATATAATTTATTTAATTTAATTAATTTAATTAATTTTATTTATTTTATTTTATTTTATTTTATTTTATAAAGAAAAACTCACCAGAAGAAGCCACACCCCCCCGCACGCCGAAGACCTCAAGGAAGCCGCGCACCTCCAGCGTAAGCGGCGGATCCGAATCTCCCTATACACCCCAAAATATATAAACAAAATATATAATATATATATTATAT